TCCCCGCAAGGCGGATTTATGGTTGCCAGAAAATGGCAAGGGACGGCAGGGTTACCATATTTGGCAAGAAGTCGCCCATTTGAAGACAAAATTGGTGATATGCCATAGACAGTTGGAGAACCTTCTAAAACGAGTTCTTACCGGTTTAGCCCAGAATGTTCTCGAACGCAGGCCGAAAGCTATATAAACCCTGCTGTATGCGGAGTGTCTCGTCAGACTCTTTAAGTCGATCGCAAATCGATCGAGTGTCTCATAGTCTAGTGCCTCGTCAGTCGATCGCGAGTCTATCGAGTGTCTCGTAGTCTGCCTAGCTTTATCATCAGTTCTACTGTCGAATTGGTGCGTCGAGAGTGTGCATCGTTGAGGCAATCGTCGAGTGCATCGCAAATTGTAGCGTGGAGAGTCTCGAGAGTACGTTGAGAAGGAGAACGACCGAACTGAATCGGGAGCTGTACTGTAGGGCTTTGCCGTGAAGCTGTCTTAACCAATATAGCCTGATAGCTGTGTTGCTGATTGTTTCAGCATGTTCGTCGTAGTTTTCAGACGCCTGTAAACGTGTTTTTGGAGCTGTCCTGAGTAATACTGGCTAATAAATCGTGTTTTCATTTTTCATCAAGGGCTGGTCGTCAATCACTCCAAATCCACGAATCCGCAGAACGCAACAATATTAAATTCTCCATGAATCGCTTTGTCTGTTTCTGTTGATTTCATATTCATGATCTGAGATAGCAACAAAACTGTCGTTCGTTTGAGCTGTACGGTTATTCTGTTAACAGTTGCTGACCAGACTGTAAACATCTCATTACTTCACTTTCATAGTCTTTCACAGAATGTCGGTAACTCCGGTTATGCATGCTGGGAAATCGCTTTGTGAACAATTAGTTTTCTTTCAGTTTCATACTGCTTAAGAATTCAAGCTCAAATCCTCTCATTCTGACAGTCATAAAATATTATGATAAATTTATTATTTAAAAATATTATGTACACCAATATGTTATCATTATTATGTATACCAATATGTTATCACGTTTCTTAGGTTTATTAACAATAACAAAACTTAAAATCATAGTTACAGATCATCAGGATTTTCAGAGTGAGAAATACGAGAAAACAGTCGTGCCTCACCCGGATTTGAGCTATGAATCTTTCAATTTCTAGATAGATGGGCTATTCACTTACATGATAAAATAATATGCGAGGAAATGTGATAATTCTTTACATTCTCCCCCACATAAAAATTTACGGAGGAGACTCAGTCGATCATACCCAGGGGGTTGAAGGAGATTATATAAGTTATTTTCTCCCTCCTTCCAGCAGGCCTTAGTGGTGTGACGGTATCACACTCGATGCGTATTCGTGAGATCCAAGTTCGAGTCCCGGTGAGGGCATTGCTCATTTTTTATGTCTCCTGTTAAAAAAGAACCAACAACTCAAATCCACAGACTATTATTCATTACGAACCAGGCAAAATTTAAAAAATCAGTTGTGTTCTGCCAGGATTTAAAGCAGGAATCTCTCAGTTCCTAGTTAAACGTTTTAACCAGTTATACCACAAAAAGAGGAGAAATGCGACAATTCTTTAAGAAAAAAAATTTAAATGTAAACTGATTATTTGGAAGACGCGTATAAGGCATTTCTCCCGTCTTCTTATCGTGCTTTCGTGGTGTAGTGGTGGTTTGGCCAATATTCCAGAGGTCCGCAGTTCGATCCCCGGCGAAGGCGTTGTTAATTTTTCATCTTGCCTGCTTCCAAAAATCCTAATGTCTCTACAGTGGGCCCGAACTAAAAGGGTGTTGAACGATGATTCTCCTCATATAGAATTTGGCAATTGGGTCCCCTAAAAACCCCAGTCGCCCTTTAAAAGGGGGGGGGAGTATATAAGGTATTTCTCCCGCCTTCTTAGCGTGCCTTCGTGGTGTAGTGGTCAACACACTGAGCCGGTATTTCAAAGGTCCTAGGTTCGATTCACGGCGAAGGCAAGTGCTAATTTTTCATCTCGTCTGCTTCCAATTAACCTAATGTCGCTACATTCATTGTGAATTAGCAATCATCAGTTGGCTTAAAAAATATCCACTTCCATTTTTATAAGCTTTGGATACGCAGGACGGTCAAACATTCCCAGAAGGGTTTGGATGAGTCTTTTTTACTTTATTTTATGTTATTAATGAACCAGTCGTAGAGATATGACGTATAGTGACTGCTGAACGTTAAAAATGGAGGGGAACATGTTTTAGAACAAGTGAACTCCATTTTCCTATTTTACAAAATCATGCTCTTATGATTGTATTTTTTGTAATACTTTAGTTAATATTTGATGTTCTAACACTCGAATTTATGCAAGGATATTTCCCTTTATCAGCCCAAATGGGTGCAATTAGTTTATGTCCACGCGCTACTTCCGATTTCCCAACAGGAAGTAATCGGGAGCTGAAAAAGGCAAGGCAAATATTGTAGTCTGTTAATCCTTGGAATTTCTTCAAATTATACACTAACCGAAGTATCGAGATGACCATTCTTGTTAGGTCTGTCAGAATGTAGTTGTAAACAGCAATTCAAGATGATTTTCTGCTATAAGACGTAACGAAATTTCAGTTACGTCATACATTAACATTTCCCATCAGTTGTCAAAGAAGCAATATCATACCGCTCTTATTATTCGTCGTTCCTTAATAAAATTCACCTTGATGATAATTCACTTTAATGATTGAATAAAATTCACCTTGATAATATCCATCAGTTATATGTCCTTGGAGAAATTTGCCAAATCATAGTCCGAAGAAAAATGTTGCATAAAAAAATCTTAGACGTTAAAAATATGAAAAACATAAAAGTATTTTACTTTCCTTATAAGATAAAAAATAACAGCAACTACTTCCAACTTATAAGCTTCGCATCATATTAAAACTAAACTCGAGAATTATCGTTCTGAATCTTCTGGCATTTATTTCTGCATTTCTTTATTAAGCGTACGTACAATGGCATAAATAGAAAAAAATATCAAAATGTTAAAAATAGGTATGATGCTGTTTGAATAAAATAAAAAAAAAAGAAAGAAAGAAAAATAAAATCTGAAAGGTTTCAGATTTTAAATGACGTTCAAAGAGGCGTTATTTCAACATTTGGTGTATTACCTTTATTTATTAAATATCATGTTCTTCGCATTTAAACCATAAAATTCAGTTCAAGAGCAAAATCGCAAAATAATTTTAAAATGAGCATATCTTTAGAATTTCCGATACACAGTCTCGCGTGCTGGAGATAAAAATGTTTTTTCTCTACAATGCTGCCATTGCTCGCCTTGAAAGCCCTTTGGTTTGTCAAAGAAAAATTCATTAACATTTTACAAATATGAAATCGATAATAAAACAAATTTCAAATTTAGGCTTCCAGATGCATATTCGCAGGAGGATTACTTTATTCAAAATTCGATGTTTCTAGGTACCGTTGTTTTATCACAATGAAAGAAACATACATCCATTTATGCGTATTCTTCATTATTTAATTTCTTTAAATAGTATTTGGTGGCAACAATTTGAAAAGTGAAACAAAGCTTATAGTGAATCAACGCAAAATGTCGAAACGAAATTAATAGTTCTTCTAGGCAAATTGTCCCTTTATACTAATAATCTGAGATCATTCAGATTTTTAGTACCCCCAAAAGGATTTTTTTAACATTTTGTGTGTTACCTTTATTAATTAAGTATCATGTTTTTCGCACTTAAAGCACATAAAATTCAATTCAATAGCAATATCGCAAAATATTTAAAAACAGCAAAACAGCATACCTTTAAAATTTTCAATACATAGTCTCGCGCCGCTGGGCATAAAAGCGTTTTTTCTTCCGTACGGTGTTGCCATTGCTCGCTTTGAAATCGTTGAGTTTGTTAATAAAAATTTCGTTAAAGTTTTACAAAATTTTAAATAGATAATAAAAGAAATTTGAAACTCAAAATTCGAGCTTCGAAATGCCCATGTTCGACTGCGCTATTCAAAATTTGATGGCTCTAGGTACCGTTGTTTCTTCACAATGCGAAAAACTTCCATGCGTTCATGCAGATTCTTCATTATTTAGTTTCTTTAAATATAATGCATGGCGATTATATTTGGTGGCAACAGTTTGGAAAATGAGACGACGCAAAATTCAATTTTGAAATCAATAGCCCTTCTGGGCTAACGTCCTTTGGGCTAAACATGTAAATATACAGAAAGAGTTTTACAATCTATATATTGCTAAAGCTTTTCATCATTCAATAACATTTTATTCCGAATGCAATCGATAGCTTAAACAAGAAGCAGAGTAAGAAAGTTGGCAACTAATTAATTACAGGCATTCAACTAGTTTTATTTTTAACACTCCTGCCACAAAATAACACTTGCTTCAAAATATTATTAAGTAATACAGGAAAATAATTTTTTAAATGATTACCTACGTTGTACTGAGTAACTCACTTTAACAGCATTGTTATAAGACAAACTGAAATCTTATATATCGTCGGTGACAACAGTGTCTATGGTTTTATCGCAAACTGAGAAAAATAAACAAACGCAAAAGTTATTTTTCCCTCACAACCCACTCTAGATTTTGGCCTTTCTTTTTTGTATTTGCTCCTTATTTACCTGAATCTTTCCTTTTCTCCCAGGAGATGAAACAGAAAATCCTTAGAAAGAATAAAACGACAACAGTCCAATAATCCATTTCTTGCAACAGGAAACAAGGAAAGAAATATTTGTTATCCATTGGAAAGAGCATATTTTGATTATTACAGTAAGCAAGGCATGAAAATTCAGATAACAATAACACAATAAACAATCGAATAACTCCAGGCATAATCAAAAGCATCCACCGATGTATATCATGGTGTAAAAATTCTTTCCAACTTGTTGTTATCATAGTTTAAAAGATTAATCTCTCATCGTTTAGACTAAAGAATATTCTATCATGATTATCTGATGTATGGAGTTAAAATCGATAGGCATAGAACAATAGGGGGTGAGAATCTGAATTCATCATCGGTTCGGTTATCTGCTCATAGTAGCAGGTGGGTGTGCGCTGCTGGATGGTTATTAATGAAGGATGGCATTCGTTTGGTTTATGTAAGTTTAAAAATTCTGTTTGTTATTTTTCAATACAATAATAATTCGTTGCTAAACTTCTATTCAATTAATCTGATTGTGCTTTTGACTACGAAGTAAATTTTTTATGATATAAATTGAAACTTTTTTGTATACTTTACCCTTCAAACTTCACAAACGGGAAAATTTGAGTGAAATTTTTATTTCTCAAACTGGACTATAAAAACCAGCTAATTTATTTAAATGCTATACGCTAAAAAACTAATTTTTTAAGTAATTTATTTTGGTAAAATTAAAAGTTATTATTCATCATTTATTGTAAATGGACATTTTTGGATGTTTCGGATTTCTTTTGAATTTTTTGGTGTAGTAGCCTCAGAAATCTGAAATGAATTATTTTAATGGTACTTCTCCGTTATTCACCTGCTGCGCATTTCGGTTTATACATTTCATTCTAATAATATATGTGTATGCGTTTAATTCTTCTTGTTTGCTTACACACACACGCAGTTCCCAGACGGTGCTATTGTTGGTTGGGTCTGTATGTAGTTTCTCTTTCACAGGCGTCAAAAAGCATAGCAGCTGTTTAACAGAAAAGCAACATTTTAAAATTCAAGTATTACTTAAGATTCTAAAGACTGCATCTGAGAACGTATATGACTTTCATGAAATATATATATGTATATAAAGCATTCCTCGTAAAACATTTTTCACAACAAAAAAATATTACTCATAACAGCTATATTTTTTCTCCAACTGATAACAGTTACTCATAACAGTTATATTTTTTCTCCAACCCCAAAATAAATAAATAAATAAATAAATAAATAAAACAAATCTGAAAGGTTTCAGATTTTAAATTACGTTCAAAGGGGCGTTTTTTTAACGTTTTGTGTGTTACCTTTATTTATTTAATATCCTGTTCTTTGCACATAAACCATAAAATTCAGACAGCAATGTCGAAAAATAATTTTAAAATGAGCATATCTTTAGAACTTAGTTTCGTGCACTGGAGATAAAAAAAGCTTTTTTTGTTTGTTTGTTTTTTGTTCTCGTAGAGTGTTGCCATTGCTTGCTTTTAAATCGTTGAGTTTGTTAATCAAAAATGCGTTAATGTTTTACAAAATAGGAAATCGCTAATAGAACAAACTCCACATTTCAAATTTGGGCTTTCAGATGCCCATATTCGCAGTAGGATTACGTCATTCAAAATTGGATAGCTCTGGGGTACGAATGTTTTATCATAATGCAAGAAAACATAGATACCTTTACGCAGATTCTTCATTATTTAATTTCTTCAAATATAATACACGGCGATAGTATTTGGTGGCAACGATTTGAAAAGTGATACAGCCTTTTAAAGTTTTCAACGCAAAATTGCAAAACGAAAAACAATAGTTCTTCAGGGACAAAGTCCCTTTGGATTAAAATACTTTCATTCTCTGAAAATTTTAAGTTACAATCTAATACCTCGAAGAAAAGCTTTACTATTAAAAATTTCTATTATCAGAGGCTTTTTAGTTTTAGGCTTAAACTGCAATTTTAAAGCTCTATTTCTTTCAACACTGGTTACTAACATAAGTCAGAATAAGAAAACAAATAAACAAAACTCTTCCTGCCCCTCTCCCTCCTGAAAAAAAACCTTTTGAACAAAATTAAAAAAATAATAATAATAAATATTTGCAAAACGTATGGTGTTATAAAACCTCAACATAGGTTTAAATTTTGTTTTGGGGGCAGACGATTAGTGATCCAAAAACTACTGTTAGAAATTTTTCAGTTAAACCTGCTAACGAAGAGTTAGAAACTTTATTTATGACACTCATGATGTAAAATAATTTTGTTGTAATATGTTTCACAAAAATCAGATGAATTGATATTTTGTATGATTAATTATGATACGCTGATGAGTAAGGCATTTTTAAAATACCGAAACCAGATGAGTACATGCTAAATCTTATTTAAATCGATTGGCAGCTCTTTCTATGTATAACAAATATGATTCTATCGCTAACTGAAAAAGATGGCTTTCCTTGCTTTAAAAAATAAAACAGATTTCTGATTGTAACTAAAGATTAAAAACGGTAACGAACAAAAAAAGACGCTGTATAAACAAAACGGTAGAACTAAACTAAATATGTTACATATGATGCTCAAGGCCTTTTTTTTTTTCCGTTAAATATATTAATGATGAATGGTATAAACATTTATAAAACAGATAACTCTACTGAAATTATTTTGAGGTAGTTTTCTTAGACTAAATTAAATGAATTTATTTTAATTTCAGTTTAGGTCGCTGTAAGAGGTTTCATTTTTACTTCTTTGTACAACGTAAAGGCGCAATTTCCTTGTAAAACGTAAAGGCTAACTTCCTTGTACAACGTAATAGCGAACAACGTCTACAACTTCCTTGTACGACGTAATAGCGAAAATTTCGGCTGTCATATTTCAACAAAATATTCATTCTGACTGCTCAAATATCCATTTAAACTCCTCCCCCCCTTTTTTTTTTCATTACATCTGTACGTACGGAGGGAAATTACTATTTTATTCAAAACGGACTGTAAAATAGATTCAGAAGGATAGTTCTCCACATTTTTGTGGGGATGGTAGTAAAAAGCTTATGCCACATGTGTATTTTTAAGAACTGAAACCCTCGAAGGTGTAAAGGTCTAGTTAGTAAGCATGAGAAGCCGAGTAAGCCCTATTAAAGAACTTATGATTCCATGTCTCGAACTTCTCTCATGTCTGATAGGTGCCAGACATGCAAAATCGATTCTATCGGACTTGAAACTTATGAGATGTAAAACAATGTTCTGAGTGATTCTTCTACAGCTTTGGGGTGAATAAGAAAAGATCAAGCATGGGGTACGTTTGCACACAATAGAGTACAAACTAGATGTAGTAGTAAACTAGTACAACATAGTAGTAGTTAAACTAGATTTGATGTTTAGAAGGAATTTTTTCGTTACGTCTGCACATATGTATGTATGTATCTCACATAACTCAAAAAAGATTAACCCTAGAATGTTGAAATTTGTATACGAGACTTGTTGCCTGTATATACATATACGTACACCAAACGTATATGTATATACAGTGCAAATTCCTTAATACGGACGTCCATTATCCGGAGTGATCTATAATCCGGACCTCAAAGCCACGAACTTTTTTTGTATGCTTTACGCATGCGCGATTAGCACAAAAAAAACGAAGCAACTTAAACAACTTACATTGAAAGAAATGTTTAATAAAGTAAACAAATAAATATTAAGCCTTTTTTTTTTTTTTTGTAAATTTCGATACCCTTTAAATCATAATTGCTTTCTTTATTTCATAAATTAACGGTTTCATATTTTTTAATTGTATAATTTCTGCATCCATCTTACCAGATTTTAAATTATGATCTATATTCCGGAAAAACCCCTAATCCGGAATCGCCGAAGTCCCGACAAGTCCGGATTACGGACTTTGTACTGTATATATATACACAGTACAAAGTAGTATATATACTTTCTTTCCCGACTTGGTGAGATATTTTTCTTTACTCTTGTATGTCAATAAATTGCGCATTTTTTGCTTTAAAAGTGATTGAATGGTTCTGTTCACAGATCCCGGTTAAGATTTTTACGCCTTTAGTTGATCTGCATGAAAAAGTTGTAGAATTATTAAAAATTTAAAAGTTTAAGTGGCGCTAAGCCTAATGAGGCGGCCATTTGTTTACATTTGAAACTCTTAGTAGAATGGTGAATTAAATCAGTTAGTACAGTAACTTCAGTATCTTTTTGTCGAGTGGGACGATTCAATTTTCAATTTGGTGCACTGATACTTTTGTCTTCCTGTCCGTTGGCCGAATCGCCTGTTTTTCGATACAAACACTAACTAGAATTGTACAAATTATTTTTTTAATTGTTTTTATCTGTATTTAGTGTTTTAGGTCTTTCTGTAGTTTGCAAATTTTAATGAAGATGTTTTGAATTTTTATACAGTTTTCCTTGCCGCATAGTGCGAATTGAATTTATGATTAAATGAGAAATATATCTCTAATGAAATTCGACGAAATAAATTTAAATTAAGTGCAGCAAAAAATATGTAAATTTAATAGGCCCGTACAAGGAAGTCATGGGTTTTCCACTTCAGATATTTTAACTTTAGTAGCCCATGGCATCCCGAAACGCCCATGGCCTGTGAGATAATTGGATCGTGTTACTTGTGGATAATGTGAATCACGTCAATGAAAATGTCTTTGGTGCAAATAACTGTGAAATACAGTTACACGAATTTTACAGACATTATTTTACAACTCTAATAATAATGCAATTTTGTCTTCTATTTAATTCTATGAACTGGAATGATTTTCGGTAACAACTAAGATGTAATTTAGCCCTATTTTGAAAAAGGATTCACACTGTTTATAGTAATTATTAAAATATTTCACAAAGTAACAAAAGATAAGAAAAAATATCTTAGCCTAAAAATCATGTTTCATAAACTTTCTTATCTTTAGAGATACACATATTTATTATTCACATATTTAAATAGCAACACATGTTTAATTTTTTCACTGCAGTTTTCCTCTTAATCTAAATTCAGCTACAAAACCAATATTTTTTCCTAACTTTTTTTTCTTACTAAATTTACACAATAGAAGCAAATGCTCTGTATTTTAACTATTCTCTTTAATTTCTAATTAAAATAAAACCTTAAAGATTATATAATCATTCTGTAGAGTTCCTCACTTTGTAATTCTAAGTTAATGTTGGAAGTGAAGAATCTTAAGAACTGATAAGCGAATAATCGCTCAAGTTCGGGTGACAAGAAACAACAAGATAGAAGGGTAACTAACCCTTTATTATTCCAATAAGATTTAAAAAACGACGCCTTGGAGTGTACAAACAAAGCCAGACACTTGGGCTCGAACTTAAAGACTAAGAATTAAACTAAAAACTAAGATTAATAAAGAAATATAGCCGAAGCTATCAAGATTCAAATCGAGTGGCCCCCCTTAACTTGTTTGACTA